GTTGGCTATTGCTACAAATATACCCCAGCGACTTAAGACTGCTTTTGTGCTCCAGGGTCACATATTATATAATTATTATTTCAGATAGCGACGTCTGGCTTTGAAATGAATTTAATGATTTTTGGGAAAGTGCAATGACTACAGTCAGACCTAACATATGAAAATCAATGATTTTTGTTTTTTTGTTATCAAACTGTTTAAATGTAATTATTATTATTATTATTATTACTAATATCAATAATAATAACTTTGTTTATTTGTTTAATAATATTATTATAATTAGTAATAAATTATTTGATATCTTAATTTATAATAATAGTAATAGCAATTTCATTTTTTTTGTTAATAATAATAATGTAATTTATAATAAATTACTTTATAAATAATTACTTTTATTTTTTAAATTTTTAATAATAATAATAGTTTGATTTTATTTAACAATAATATTATGATTTATAACAAAGTTTCTACTTTTTAATCAATAATAGCACTAGAATAATAGTAATTGATTAATATTACAATAATATATCATATTTAACTTAATAATAATAATTTTAATTATTTAATAATATGCTCATTTATAATTGTTTTTTTTCATTTTGAAATATAATAATAGAAGTTATTTTATTTAATAGTAAAATTATTTATAATATTTATTTTATTTTTAATTAATAGATAATAGAATAAATAATTGTAATTTTAATTCAACTAATAATAGTAGTACTATATTTTAATTTAAATGTTATTATTTATAATAATATTTACATAATAATTTTAATTATTTAATAATATGCTCATTTATAATTGTTTTTTTTTATTTTGAAATATAATAATAGAAGTTATTTTATTTAATAGTAAAATTATTTATAATATTTATTTTATTTTTAATTAATAGATAATAGAATAAATAATTGTAATTTTAATTCAACTAATAATAGTAGTACTATATTTTAATTTAAATGTTATTATTTATAATAATATTTACATATTTAATTTATAATAATAGTAATAATTTATTTTAGTAATACTATACATTTGAATATTTGTAGTTTTTTTTCCCCCAAATAATAATTTATTATAATTTAATTAATCTCTATATTTTATTTAACAATAATGTTATATCTTAAAATAAATTATTTCATTTGGAATAATCATAAATTAATTTATTTTAATAATACTATACATTTTAATATTTTTTTGTTTTTATTTTCAATTAATAATAATAATCAATTTGTTTAGCTCTATTACCCAGCACTACTAATAAGAAGTGTGTGACTGATTAACTCTGGGGCATGTGCCTTTTTCAGGAGCTGGCCTTTGACCCCTACGAGACGTACGCACAGGATATCCTGCGCAGCGGCTTCCACGATCACTTCCTGAGTCAGCTGTCCAAACCCGGAGCGGCCATCTACCTGCAGGTCAGAGGTCACGGACGCACGCAGCGGGGAGTATGAGTGCAGACGTCAGCATGAACGTGTCCCCCTGTCTGTGTTTCAGTCCATCTGTGAAGGCTTCAAAGAGGCGGTGCAGTACGTGTTACCGCGGTTACTCCTCACGCCGCTCTACCACTGCCTGCATTACTTCGAGATGCTGAAGGCGAGTGTCATCAGCACAAACGCTTCCCACAATGCACCTCACTGACTCATGCCTTGCGTCTGAATCCAAGTGATGCAGAAATAATCGTTGTTTAAATAATAAAGCCTGCTGTCTGTGCACTTCCACATTCACCTCTTCTTCTTCTTCTAGACTTTTTCAAAAATAGTTTTAACTTCTAAAATTAAAATCTAAATTTAGAGCATCAACACACTTCAAAGTCTGCTGCAGAGTTTAATAATGATATTATAATTTATTTTTAATAAATAAGAATAGTAATCATTTAATTACATTATATTTAATAATAATAACAATATAATTTATAATGCATTTTTTATTTGTAATTAATAATATATATTTTTTTATTTAATAATAGCACATTTATGTGTTTATAAACGATTTTGGATTATAATTCTTTGCAATAGATTCTATTTAACTAAACTATTTTTAAAATATTTGTAATTTCTAAAATTTAAATCTGAATTTAGAGCATCAACACTATGCTGTAGGGTTTAATAATGATATTATAATTTATAATAAATTATTTTATTTTTCATAAATAATAATAGTAATCATCTAGTTACATTGTTTAATAATAATAATATATTTTTTTTTTTCTTAATGACTAGTATTACATTAATATGCTTATAAACAAGTTTTTTATTAATGTAATCTAAATGTAAAATCTAAGTCTAACATGACACCAGTCTGGGGTTTGTGAGTTGGTGAAAAGCTAATAATTAAATCATAAAAATGTCACATTTAAATAACTTTCAAATAAAAACTGTTACATTTAAATGCATGAAAAGTCCTGTAACAGACAGCGGAGGAGCGTGAACATGCGAATGTGTTGTTCAATGATTAAAGAATTGTCTTAAGATCTCAGGAGTGTTTGATCTCAGAGGGGTCGCTCGCGCTCCTGTCGCTGGATCCGGGATCCGGGATTCTGTCCGGAGTCACAGGGATCTGAACATGTGCCTCTTCCAGAGCTCCAGCATTCCCAGCGGCCCTAAGCTGCTTTCCTGGATTCTTTCTGAGGGATTTATGGAGCAGAAACCAGCAAATCTCTGCGCCTCGTACAGACCTCTCTCAGAAAGACCTGTTCGCACATTGATTTATGATCATAATATGATGATTTATCACATTCGCATGTTCTTTTTAACATGATTTATTTAAATTAGCATAGCTAGGATTTTATTCATTTTTAATAGATATTTTCTTTTGTTTGGTTTTATTTTTTAAATGAATTGTTGTAATTTTATGTTTTCGTGATGTCAGATTTGTTGATTTTTAAAAATAATTTATTTTAGTTTTACATTTTTGTCATTTAATTACGTTTCAGTAAGTGTTTTATTTTTTCATTTGCTTTAAATGTAATATTATTTATTCACTTTTTTGATTTAATACATTTTTAATAAGTATTTTATTTTGATTGCTTTTATTCTAAAATGATTTGCTTTAATTTTACATTGAATTGCTTAGTTTTTATTTTTAGTTTATTTTAATTTATGATTCAATTGCTACTGTTTTGTTTTGATTTGCTTTTATTTTAAAATGATTTATTTAAATGTTACATTTTTATGATTTAATTATTAGAGAGTGTTTTTATTTCTTTTTATTTTAAAATGATTTTTAGTTTTAACATTTTGTTATTTATAAATTTTTAGTAAGTGATTTATTTTGTTTTATTCTGTTTTATAAATATTTAATTATTGATATTTTTGGTTTAATTAATTTTTAGTAAGTGTGTTATTTTGATTGCTTTTATTTTAAGATTATTTATTTATTTTACTTTGATATTTTTGTGGTTTAATTAATTGTTCATTTTTACCATCAACTGACCCTGTCCTAAAGCATTATCAAATGAGTCCAGATACTGAGCGTCTCTGTCTGCTCCTCTGCAGCAACTGGAGGAGAAGAGTGAGGATGAGGAGGATAAACAGTGCTTGAAACAAGCCATTACAGCCCTACTGAACCTGCAGAGCAGCATGGAGAGAATCAGGTACACACACACACACGCGCACACACTCGCACACGCACACTCACACTCACACTCACTCACACACACTCACACACACACACACATTCACTCTCTCACTCTCACACACACTCTCACACACTCGCACACACACACACTCTCTCACACACTCTCTCACACTCACTCTCACACTCACTCTCACACTCACACTCACACTCA